TAAAGTTTCAGGTTAATTGGCTGAGCCTAAATCCTGATTCTAAATTTAGTTTAATTTGAGGTCTTAGTACTCGGTTACCGGTTGTTTAGGTTAGGATTGCATTTTATTAATGTTGGCATGATTTATGTGTATTATATGAAGTATTTGAGTTGTGTCCAGTTCTGGTAGTCACTCCATAGTACCTAACTCAGTCAAGGAATCCACGAGTCACTTAGTCAATATGATTTCGGCTAAGTATATGTGCCTTATGTGTTGTTTTGAATTGGACAGTCAGTGATAGGTCATTATAAATTGTTGTAGGTCCTTCGAGCTGAACTTTTGCCATAATTCCTTCAACTCTGCGTTTGGCTATACCTCTTGCTACATCCAGGTGGGTTTTATTTGAAATTGCTATTCCTTAATTAATTTTATTGTTGTGGTATGATCAAAGTATTCGTGTGAACCATGTAGCCTTCAATGTGAGCTATATTGGCCGCCGAACGGTTATCCCCGTAGCTATAAAACGTACCCGATGGGTAATCTCCTTTATTTATGTATGGCAGTCAGGGCGTGAGCCTTGGCTGGTGATCCTCGATGTAAGTCCAAAGGCTAGGTTCCGGGCATTCGGGGTGGATTTACTCCTACTATCTGGGCATCGATTGTAAGACCCGCGGGGCATTTCGATATGTGTATCAGCAGTGGTCTATTGATATAGGTGTGCACATGAGAATTGACTCTGGGATAGGAGATGGGATATTAATTGATTTGTGTTCATACTGCGAGCATACCTGCTTTACTTTATGAAACTGAATATTAATTATTGCATAGTGGTGAGCACCTCGATTTTCCTATTGTGCTCATCCCCACCTTCTCTTCATGGATGCAGGTTAGTATTTGCGGGCACGACAGAGGGAAGTGAGTGGTGGTCATGTTATTGATTTATGCATTCCTGACTTATGTTGAGTACTGGATTATCGATAGGGGGTGTACTCCCTAGTATTTACGGATTTGATGAACCCAGTTTTGGGAGTTGATGTCATTTATGAACCCGGTTTGGGTATTGACTATTATGATTATTGAACCCGGTTTGGGTGTTGAGTATTTATGATTATTGAACTCGTTGGGAATTGCATATGTGATATTGTTGGAATTGTTTTTGGAAAATGAGTAGCGCCTCAAGTGTTTGAAATAAATTTTGAAAAATTTATTCTAAATTTCGGCAACTAAAAGTGGGGCGTGACAGTTTGGTATCAGAGCCAGTCTGCGTTTCTGTAGACTGGTTAATGTGAATTATGTGATTACATGCTTTGACCTCATATTTTGACCACTCGCTCTCGTAGTGCCGCGCTAGCTCAGGTACGAGTACCTGAATGATTTAAGATTATTGTGCATTATTGGTTATTGATTTCTGAAATGAAACCGGGGCTTAGAAATTTATCCTCCTACTTTTAAACATTCTGGAACTCTAGATGAATGGCGAACCTTAGTTGTATGAATTTGAACTCTAGCGATATAGAGTTAAGTTCTAACTTGAGGTTTTTTTTGTTTAGAAATTTGATATGGTGTTATCGATCTGAGTTCTGTGTATAACAGTCCTCTCGATGTATTTTGGTGTCTTCGGAAGAGGACCGTTCGCGAGCTATCTCGGAAGGAGAAGGCTTAAACGAAGGCAGATAACCGAAGAAGTCTCAAGTGTGGGATATTCGGATGTCTGTAACCATGGTTATTAAGACCATCAGATGTGAATATGCCTATGTTAATTTTGTATTCATTAGTTTGAAATTGGTTTAAATATATGTTGTTCATATGTAGACGATCTCTTTGATTTTGAGAAATCAAATGAGACCTCGTCGATTCGTGATATAGTCATTGTGGATTGGAACGTTGTATCGTCCTTAGTCTTATGGCGAAGACTTCGGACGAATTCGTCGTAAAACGAGTCGTAGATAAATTGTTGAACTTTATTAACCGCTATTTTAGTGTTGGAATTATTAAAAATTATGTACTGCTCCGTTTTCCTTGACATTTTGAGGGTCTTGTCTTCTGTTGAACATCTGACTTGTGATAAAATTTCATAATTTTCCAAGGCCTGTGGCTATTTTAAATTAGAATGATTTCTGGTCAGTTTCATGTTAATTGCATAATAAATTGTGTAGTGATTGAAATTGGCTGAAAATTTAGTATGTTATGCCACTATTATAATTGTATTATGTGTAACATTTTTAGAATTTTCGTACTAAGTTTGTAGGATAAATAATTTATCTTCTGATTCTACAAAAATCGGTTTTATTTATCATAAATCGGTTAGTTGTTGAAAAATTCTGAAACTTGGCTGGAATACTTGTTTTATATGTGTTTTGATGCTGTTAAAAGATCGGAATTTTTATAGTTCAATTTAGTTTAGTTTCTACTGAAATTCGATAACTGCTGAAATTTGTAGAAATTTTTTAAATTCGTATAGTTAATGTCCAGGGCTAAAATTTTGACATATTGCCTCTCTCATGCTGTAGTCTGTGGTATAAAAATTTCATAGGTTAATGCATTCATTTAATTTGGTTGCTAATTTATGCTCGTTTTTGCCATAATCTTGCTCGAATTTTATAAAATATCACAGTTTGAGTTTGAGGCTGAAAATTTGTGGTATTGCTTAATTCTGGGAGGTGAAATTTTGGTGAAACTTTCGGAGTGAAATTCGTATGATAACCTGACCAACCTAATTTTGTGATTAAAATCTAGTATTTTTTTTTAAAATATATGGCTTTTGCAAATAAAAACTGTGAATCGGCTCGTTTTCCGGTTCTTTAAGTGTTTGACTTGGTCAATGTTTGTTTTGGATTATGTGAACTCCCATGTGTATTTGGTTGAGTCTTAGTGTTCCAACGTCCACAGGACCTCACGAACAACTTAGTCGAATCAAGTTCGGTTGAGTATAATTGTGAATTCCGTTTAAGTCAGAATAGATGTTGATTATAGCATCTGAACTTAACGTAGGTATTTGACGAGTCGAGCTTGCCGCCTATAAGTGCTTTTGGGTTATCGAGATGGAGTGTTTTTCTACCTTTAAAGATTATGCAGAAGCATTTTAAGGAGGATAGACGAGTCAGAAACAAGCACATCGTGTAGTGCGGACCCGTCCTTATTCTAAATCTTGTTCATCGTAAAAATTTTGTTCTTCTACTTCTTTCGGAATCCCAAGAGGGACTTCGCGTTCAAATTCCAAAGTGTGAAGATTGGGAAGTGAGTTGCGCTCGTTTAGGACTGCTGACGCGATTAGCTACCCGATGAAGAGCTGACGTGTCGGCCGACGCTGTTAGTCGGAAGAGTCGAGGCGAGCTAGTTATTGTATCTCTCGGTAGGAGCTGCTGATTGGAGATTATTCCCGACTGAATAATTGTATTAGAATTTCATTGAGGATTCTCGTATATCTCAATCAGAGCAACCGACATCATGCACGAATAAATCAAATTCAATTGAAAACAATTGGAAGTTGAAGTGTCACCCTTTAACAATTCTCAATACTCAAGAACGATAATTGAAAAACTCTTTTAAAAGATCAACTCGCATAAATTTAACAATCACAAGCACGAAAATCACAAACGAAATCAAAACATCATCCCTTATTCCCTAGCATAAGGATTTAGCTACTCATAATCGAATTATCAACATCAATCACGATAATCAGAGTGAACATATCCATGGATTAAATGTATAGAAAAACATACGATTAATAGAAATTAAATGTTGAATCCTATAAACAAGATTAATCCGAAAGCGATAAGGAAATCCAAGTTAAAATCCGTGTTCTACGTCGAAAACGATGAAGGAAATATGTTTAAGAGAGAACGAGGGGCTAGGTTTTTTTTGTTTCTGGGAAAAGAAGATATGTTCTGTCGAAGTCTCGATGCATATTTATAAAACAGCTCGGTAACGGCATGGAGAAAATGTGGCGCGGCGCGAGCAGGGCGTGTGCCGCGGCGTGGCGCTCTGGCGCGAGCGCGGAGGGACAGGTCACCGCAGCGTGGTGTGGTGATGCAGCGCGGAGCTATGTTCTGAGCGTGTTCTGCTCGGNGTGGCACTGGGCGTGGCGCGACACGCGCGTTGAGGCCTGACCGCACGGCACGGGGCTCGGCACGGCGCAGAGCCTGGGCAGGCTGGTTGGCAGCTCGCATGACTTTACGTCTCGGGCTCGTTTGGACTCGTCCTAACTCGGAATCGAGTTCCGTTTTTTCTTACTTGTCGCCAACGAACTCCTCTGATTAATTGTGCTCACACGGCCAATTCATTATTGAATATAAATCCTCCCGAAACTCTAGACTTGCACACTAGAAATGAAGAAAAACTAGAAAATGACCGAAAAACACAAAAAAAACCGAAATAGAGCAAACCACGAAATAAACTACAAAACGAACTAAAAACCAACTAAAAGACCTAATATAGGGGAAAAATAAATGAAAAATAATAAGAAAATATGCAATAAAAATGGGACAAACAATTCCAATGGTATAGCTTCCGTTAGGATGATTCCAACAAAAATTCTAACAGAATTATTCCGTAGGAATGATTTTTCCTTGGAATTCAAATGGAATTTTATCTTTCCAACGATCATTATTCCAAAGGTCTTTTACCATAGAAATTTCCGTTGCAATATACAATTTCCATTGAAATTTTTATTTTCACCCATATTTCAACCGTTGAAAAATGCACCGTTGAAATCGTTAACATACAACGTAAATTCCAATCGAAAACTCATTCCAATGGAATATTTTTGTTGGAATTTCCATTGGAATCTATTGAAAATTTCAACCGAAATAATAGCATTGGAATATCCGTTGAAATTTTTCATTAGAATTTCATCACATTTTTGAAGTGGCATATTTTGTTAGAACTAATTTTCCACTGAAATTTTGGTAATTCAAAAAACAAAATTTTCAATGATAAAAAATGACGTGAAGAAATTTCCTAAGAAACTTTTTTATTCCTGTGGAAATTTCTACAATAATAAACCATTAGAAAAATGGGTACTAGAATCATCATATTCAAACTAAAATTTTAAAGAAAAAATAAATCCGACAGAATACGTTATTGTTGATCTCAGTTGGAGTTTTCCCATGGACACATAATTGGAATATCCATTAAAACTTTTATTGAAATATAAACTTTCGAATGTTCCTTTATGATATTTTCTTAGTAGTAATATTAATGTTCGAATTCATTACAAATAGTAGAAGAAAAAAAAACATTGGATTAGTTCTTTTGGAGCTAGGTTTCTTCATAATCCAACAATCACGGAATTGGATTTAATTCCATAAAGATAACTGTCACATGTCTTAACCATCAAATTTGGTCTATATTTGAGAACCCTTTTTGCCTCGAGGCAATTTTCCTTTCAAGAAGGATGTAAACAAAATAAGTGCGCGTTCGGGTTGGTAACTCGGCACGAAGTGCCCCGCCCCTCTTACGGTTACAAACGTCACATTTTCGTATCCAACTGCATATCCTCCCACCTGCGAGACAATTAGCGTCCGAACATTTTTTACGATGCACAAACGAACTTTAATTTTTAGCGCGTAATATTGTAGTTTCCTAACGTGTTTCTTACCTCTTCATTGACGTACCATGGATACCATCGAGTTTCAATGAGTGACGCAATTTTAGCCAAAGAGTATAATGTTGCCGTAAATGGAACATTCGTATCCAAATCTCCACTGAAAGACGGAAAAAAATTTAGATCAATGTTAATAAGTATGTATACGGGGTAGCAAAAAAATAAAATAAAAAACAATTTTGGTCCATTAAATTGGCATATTTCCAAAAATGATACACTAGTTCGGCTCTAATCATTATAAATATCGATTTGGCTAGTTAGTATACCAAAAAAATCATCAAAACCCTTTTTCTTTTTTATAATTTCGGTAATTTAGTGTATTAATTGTGATGAGTGTTAGATTGGTATATCATTTTTGAAAAAGGGTGGACCATAATGAAATTAAGCCCATAATAATGGAATCTTAGAAGGCAATTTTATGCCATTATACTAGCATTATGTGGTCACCTATAGAACCAAATTCTAATGCCACTAGTCATCAGGCTCTTGATGAGTGGTAACACTGAGTCGGGGCCGTCCTTCCAGTTATATAAAATGTCGTCACTGTAAAGAAACTCGTTGCAGTAATGATTACAGATTTATTGGGAAAAATAAAAGAAAGAATCATAATGAATAAAAATAATCGTTAGTTTCACATAATGAATAAATAATCGTTACTTGCAACCATCCCAGTGCCTAGATATATGAGTGGTGTTAGCGTGAAGAGCCTTCTGCACTTGGGGATTATTTAAATATTCCAAGACGTAATGATCGGTGCATGGATCGAAATTCGATATCTGCTTCAAATAGAACATAACAAATTGAGAATAATTAGATGATGAATTGCAAAAATATATCGAGTAGATGTTCAAAAGATGAAATATTACCGATGAAAATTGTTTAGACGAGCCGCATAATGATGCATAAATGTTATAAGGGTAGATGTTACCAATCTCCTCATTCAATTGTTTTTTATAGTATCTACAAAGATTTGATTCCCGTTTATGTGAAGAGAAATCGCAATTTTTTTGCACGCCTTGGTAAGTTTCATTAGATATAAGTGCATGACTCCATAAGTAAACCATGATTCCATTGTCCGTATCTGCAGAGTCGATATATGCATTCCCCATCTAAAAACAAACGTAACAAATATTAACAAAGACATAAGTGTTTACCAAATTAACAAAGGTCCTTAGTGTACAGTAAATGAAACTCACGGCAATTCCTTTAAGGTTAATATAAAAGGCTTTCTTCGAAATTATTTTATTATTTCTGAGTATTAGGTTGGCAAGCTGAGGCACATAATGACCCGCATAACTTTCGCCCGTTATGTAGAAGACTCGGGTTTTATATTCTGGAAACCTCTGGAGCCAGTTTACTAAGAATGTGTAAGAATCTTCAGCTGTCTTTTTGTCGCCCGTCACATAATCTGATGATCTATTTGAGTACGAAAATCCAACACCTGCTGGGGATTCCAAAAACAGGACATTTGCCCCTGTACACAAAGAACACGTTATTTAAATCCTAAAATTTTTATGTATTATTCATACTTGACCAAATTACCGTTATTCCATGAATTCTTGTTAGGCCATAATGTTTCTCCATTCGAGTTTACCCGAAAAGGTCCAAGCTCGGACATTGCTCCATACCCCATTGACGAGCACCCGGGCCCTGCAACTTCGAATATATATGTCAATACACGAGATTTAGAAGTTCCTCTTAAGGAAAAAAACAATTGAGTAATTAAATCTTGGTTTGCTTGATTGTATGATGACGATATCCTTGAGGTTGGCTTCATATAGAAGAATAATAAAGGAAAAATAATTCAGCTATCTTTTTAGGTAGCCGTATGCGGATTGCAGATTAACAAATATATATGTATACTTTCCCACCATTAAAATTTTTAAAATAATTCGTACAAAAGCATATGTTGTTTCATTGTGAAGTATCCTAATTAGGATTATCACCATAACTTTTACCTCCTTGGAGCCACAAGACTAGAGGTTTGTTGGTCGGGTTCTCAGCGGCCTCGACAAAATAATAGAACAATGCTCGTCCGGCTTTTTGGTCAACGGTAACGTAACCTGAATATTGAGAAAAACTTACTTTCGGTTGTCCAGGCAATGCTTTGATTTTGTCGGCTTCTTTCATGCCCGTCTGTGATGCTACATAAACTGATGAAGATTTAAAATCATTTGAATCGTCCATTGTAAGGAAAGGATGGTTGGATTGCTTTCTTAAATTCCTCATGTTCATAAATTCACGAAGAGGATTATTGTTTCCTCTTCTACAGAGACATTCTGTAACGTAGGCCATGAGGCACAAAATAGAGAAAATGGTCAATGTATTCTTCATGTTTCCCATGAAATTGAGGAATTTTAGAATTCAATGTTTTTTTCTTGACCTCGTACAATTTAGTATTGTTGTTGTCTTGCTTTTATAGGCATCCCCAATAGGATACAATGATTTCACAACAAGACTTTGTAGTAATAAAAGACTAATAAAGTGGAATTAATACTAGTGTATTAAAATAATATTAATAAAAAAAATATGTCTAAAGAAGAAAATCATAATGTATCTAAATTTTAAAAATAAAATAGAAATTTTTTAAAATTTTCCATTCCCAAAACTTATGTCGCTGCATGCATAATAAGATAGGGGGAAAGAACCTGTCGCTATCTTGGTTGTGCTACCGGAAGCCAAGGCCGTCTCCAATATTTTTTGGGCCCAGAGCGAAAAATAAAATTAGGCCCCCCTAATTACAATATTGAATAATATATTTTTAATATTTTATTAATAACAACTTCCACTACTCAAGTAGGAAAGAACCTCCCCCAGATAGACAAAACACAAAAGGCTCTTTCTATATATTATTATATTTTTTTATTTATATTATTATATATATAATATTTTAATATTTATATAATGGGCCCCAATTAATTGGGGGCCCTGTGCAGTTGCTCACCCTGCTCCTCCCAAAAGCCGGCTCTGCCGGAAGCTATGGGGAAGTCGGAATAGGAGAGCACTCATATTATGGGCTTACTACTTAGCAGTTACCCACCGCACTTGGCTACTCAGCGTTTATCGTGGGCACGATAACTTGTACACCAGAGGGTCATGTAAAATTTAAATTATTATTGTAGTTGTTGTTGTTGTTGTCATAATTTATATTTAAATGGTACTCAATCATTTGTGTAACATAACCATTATATATTATAAAATCTTTTTTGTTCACATTATATTGCACTTTGAAAAAAATTATTCAATTGATAACTAATTCTATAACTTTCAATTAACATTGATAAAAAAGTTTAAAATTTATGATGGATGTCAAAACGAAGTTCGCCAAAATACAATTAATCTGATATATCATATGTAAAAAGTTGATAATAAATACGAAAGTTATTGACTTTTAAAGTATATTTATAATTTAAATTATTTAGCTATTTTATAATTTAAGTCCTAATAAGACATGTATATAACTCCAAATCGATATGAATTACACTGAACCACCAGAATTTAACAAAAATGATTATGAAGTAGAATAAGTTTATCCATAGGTTTGGAAACCTCTGCATTGGTGTATAGGGGATTATACTAGCGTAATGTTGATATCCGGGTCGGGCTCATATGAAGGTAACGATCCATGGGATTGGGAACCGGGCGAAGTTGGCCCGACCGACGGGGGGCCGGTTACCGAATTGATTGGGGGGGTGCCGAGCTGAGCATAGGACAAAGTCAACAAGAGTGGCGGACGGCGTCGTTTTCAAGGTCGGCACCTTACTTTCCTCGTTACGGAGCCGGCCTGGTTAAGTGCCGTGTAGAGGTGGGATCCGGAAGACCGGGGGATGGACTGAGTGCTGGAGCCTGGCCAAGGATCCTACCAAGTCAACCCTCATAAGAGTTAAGGATCTGGGAAACAGTAAAATGAGGCCACTTGTTAATCAATGATTATCGATGGGACATCCCAGACTAGCCTGCAGGTCTAGGATGTCTAGTCCGGCCAGAGAGCACGTCCGCATATAATGCAACCCATACCAACATTAAATGCCCTATAGGTAATGATTGGAAGATCCACAAATCACTCCCAATCAGTCAGAGAAACGCCGGCTTGTCTTGCCGAGTTACTGTGTGACAAGACCCACGAACAGTATCTGAATAGTGTCGCATTTAAGGACCCTATAATTAGAAGCTTCGAGCATTATTTATTTTGGGTTGTTGAATCCCTAGCTGCACTCATTCTACTTTCTCCCTCTAAGCTAGTAAGTAACCCGTGTAAGAATTTGTAAGGATATCGCAAGTGACAACCTCGTACGAGAGGCCGACCACGTGATCAATTAGTAATATTGTAATTAAACTGCATTTTCTCGTTTCTCTCCCATTTCATATTCCTTTTTCTTATTTCTTTAATCGTTGATCGGAAATATTGGTATCTAATATTGCTTACCTTTCAAAACTCACTGTTGTTAGCTGCATAACCGGACAACTAAATTTATTATTGAATTTTAATGTATAACATTTGAGTGTTAAATTAAATTACTTCTACATTATGTTAGTTTTTGTAGTCGCCAAATACCAAACACTCGCATGCACCTTTATATCCTATTTAGATTCAATTTTTATCATTAATTTAGAAATACGAAGGTAGAAAGAGTAAAATGCATTTGTACTCTTTTTGTATTTAGTTTGTACTATTTAACATGTTTTCTAAAACGTATTTCTACAAAATATAATATAAAAAAAGAATAAAGTTCAAAAGACACCAATACATAAACGAGTAAAATCGACTAAATAGATTTGGGAAAATTTAAAATAAACTAAAACAAGCATAAATTAATCACTCAAATACACATTAGATAAGTATAAAAACATACAAAGCATGCTACAACTTCAGAGACGTAGACGTTGTATCTTTGGAGACGAGACACCTTAATCCGTCAGCACATTACAGGACTTATTAGTCTAGCAGAAAGAGAAACTCTCGTCTCGGGTTTATCTTTGATTTAAGTCTATTGTAATATTCAATTTTTAGTTTTCCTTGTAAGAACTGTAAATATCATTTTTCAGTTTAGTAGATTTTTCGTTGCAATTGGATACACACATGTAACAATATAGATGTCTAATCATTAGAAAGTTGAACAAAAAAATCTACCATAAAAAGTACTAATATGTAATTAATATCTAAAGTTATTATCTCTGAAAGTATAACAAAGAACCCTACTATAAAAGGTGTTGATATTTAATTCATTTCTAAAGCTATTATCTCTTTTTTTTTTTCCCAACACGACAGGTATAACTATAGTAAAAAAGTGGCGAACACCGTTCGAATACACAATACAGAAAAATTGGAAATAAAAACTGAGAGACACACCGGAAGTGGTCTAGAACCTCAACTAACACAAACAACCTTCAAAGAGGTCAAATGAACCAACTAGTAAACCAACAGAAACTAAGAAGACCAACCCAACCACTGCTATAAAGCCTAGCCGGGAAAGATCCCTCAATCAACAATAAAAAACTAAGGAAATAGAAAAAAAAAAAGAGAGAACAAATCCTAAGAACTAGCAGCTGCATAGCAAAATTCAAGCCAGTCTTAGAGAGCTAGCTTCACAATCACATGTTCTGGAATCCAAGAGTTTTGGAAGATCCAGAGATTTCTGGACTTCCAAAGCCACCAAAGCAGGTATGTAGTGAGTTGAATGCGAGCTTTGGCTACTTCAGACTTCTTCAAAGAACAAACATGGAACCACCAGTCAGAAAAGTTTTTGTCCTGTTGCAAAGTCCATCCCACTGGACAAGGCTAACTTCCCAGCACCTCTTTACTCTTGGACAGTCAAAAAAGATATGCTCAATAGTTTCTTGATTCCCTCCACAAACAGCACACACAGTATCCAGATCCACTCCCCTTTTGATCAATTGCACAGCCACAGGAAGAGTATTAGTTAAGCATTTCCACAGAAAGAACTTAATCTTGCCAGCAATTTTGAGTGTCCAGTATCTAAATTTAACTTCCTGCTTGACAGAAGAACCATTACTGCTCTCTGGAATATCAGCTTGCAAGAGTTTGAGATTGGACAAATATTTATAAGTACTTGACACAGAGAAGTTCCCCTTTTTCTCCAACCCCCAGTACATCCTTTCATTTATGTCCACATGAAGAGAAGATATATCAAGAATGGCTTTGCTATCTGTTGCATCAAAAACCTGTTTAACAAGCCACTCATTCCACAAATTACTACCATCCACCAACAAATCCTTTACCCAAATCAAATGATCTCTAGCAATGGGAATTAAAGTTGGAGCAAGTTTACTGAGCTTAGGTACCCAATTAAAGTTTTCAATTTTTGTATTAAGCCCATTTCTCACCTCAATCCTCATACACTTAGAGAAAATAGGAAGAACATCAACCCAACTGTTCCACATCCAAGATCCCCCTTGAGTTTTTTTAGCATGAACAATAGAGGAGTTGTGGAAGTACCTGTCCTTTAGAAGTCTTCTAACCAAAAGATCAGGATTAGAAGCCACCCTCCATAGCTGCTTGCAAATTAATGCCTTGTTGAACAGTTGCAAATCCAGAGAGCCAAGCCCCCCTTGCAGCTTTGGTAGAGACAAACTGCTCCATTTTTTCCAATGAATACCTTGAGTTTGGTCAGTGCCTGTTTTCCACCAAAACTGAGCAAAAAGCTTTGAGATTTCAGAGCACAGAGAAATTGGCAATTTAAAGCAAGACATTGTAAAAATAGGAAGAGCTTGAATAACAGACTTCAACAACACATCTTTCCCAGCATTGCTAAGAAATTTTGATTTCCAACTGGTGAGCTTAATCCTGACTGAATATAGAAGATAATCAAACACTTCCCTTTCTGATCTACCAATTTCCAAAGGCAACCCAAGGTACCTTGTGGATCTGTGTGAAGATATTCCATTCATCAGAGAGCAGATAGAAGTTTGAGTGTGCTGTGGAGTGTTCTTGCTGAAGAAGATGGCTGATTTTTGTAAGTTAACTGCTTGTCCAGTAAATAATTTGTATTGCTCAAGCAGGTTCATGAGTATGGTAGCCTGATCTGTCCCAGCCTTGAAAAAAACAGAGAATCATCTGCAAACAAAAGGTGAGATAGCAAAGGGCCATTTCTGGAAACCTTCAACCCTTTGAGCAACCCATTATTGACAGAGTGCACAACCAAAGCAGACAAAAGCTCAGCCACAATTATGAAAAGGTAAGGGGATAGAGGATCCCCTTGCCTAATGCCTCTTGAAGGAGTCATATATCCACTGAGAGAACCATTAATTTTAAAAGAGAAGGAGGCTGATGAGACACAGATCATAATTAACTTAACAAAGTCCATGTGAAATCCCATTTGCAACATGATTTTTTTAGATCCATTCAACCCGATCAAAAGCCTTAATAAGATCCAATTTTAGTGCCATGAAGTAATTTG